CGTGAAGGTGCTGCTGTCCTGGACCATCTCCATCAACTGCATCACGGCGGCTCTGGGCGCGCTCTCCCTCTACAACATGAGCACCGGGGACAAGTTCAGCCGAGGCAAGTCTGCGCGCTGCGGGCTGGTCTTCTCCGTGGGCAAGTTCTTCAGGTGGATGGTGGACAGCCGGGTGGCGCTGAGGATCCACGAGCACGCCGCCATCTACCTGACCGCCTGCATGGAGAGTCTGTTTAGGGAGGTGCTGGGCCGCGTCCTGCGCAGCGCGCTGGTGGAGAGGGACAACGGCATCCCCAAGTTGACGGTGGAGACCCTGGAGCAAGCCATCAACGGTGACTCGGAGATGTGGGGTCTGCTGCAGCCCTACCAACACCTCATCTGCGGCAAGAACTCCAGCGGTGAGCAACGGCTGTAGAAATGTGCTTTTTTTTAAAATGCAAAAATGTGCCATAATTTAGGCCAAAAGAAGTTGGAAGTCAGTGCCTAGACTGATAGAGTAATAGAAAAGAAAATACAACTAAAAATAGAAAAGTCAAAAATACGTAGATGTGAGAAACATATTGATAAAGAATAATTATATAGTCTATTTGAACAGAGCCGTGCAAATAGTTTTTAAGGACAGGTGCCCCTAAAGGCTCCAGGCCTGGAACACTAGGGTTGTTATACATAATGATTCATTTATTTTCACAGTGGATTTCAGAGTTGATGGATGACCAGTAGGTGCAATAGATTATCTGTAAGTTGAATTGTGGGTAAATGAACGCCAAGCTCCTCCCCATTGTGTGTGTGCTAGCACATTTTGGTGTTACATTTGGTCAAACTGGTCAAACAAACCTGACCAAATAGACAGAGCTACAGGCTGTAGTTGTAAGATGACGCTTTTAGGAGAAAAAAAAGTACAATCAAGCTTTGGAGTTGCCACAGTTACTGGCCTTCAGTCACTTCAGAAGCCAACGCATCATTTTTGGTAGCATTAGCTCTGGTGTCTGAACCAGGACTGTCGTAGCTAACGTTAGCTCTGGTGTCTGAACCAGGACTGTCGTAGCTAACGTTAGCTCTGGTGTCTGAACCAGGACTGTCGTAGCTAACGTTAGCTCTGGTGTCTGTCTCCATACTGTTGTTGCTAACGTTAGCTCTGGTGTCTGTATCCATACTGTTGATGCTAACGTTAGCTCTGCTGTATGTGCCCGGACTGTCGTAGCTAACGTTAGCTGTGGTGACTGTGGTGTACACCATGCTCTTATCCAAGCTGACAACATGCACCTGCTGCTAAACCTGCATTACTGCCCCCTAATGGGCTGCAGTGTGTACATCAGTGTTACCAATGTGCCTGACTTGAAAAGAAATTGGGAAAGCCACAGAGGTGTAGTCCCAGCTGTACTCTAATATACACAGTACTGCTACTGCAGTAATAAAGTTGAGAAGGAGTGGGCGGAGTAATGCTGTGATGCTGGAGGTTTGACAATTTGAGACATTAAAAAAAAACCCTGCCGTGATGATGAAAGACAAGAATGTTTTACGGATTTCGACTCTTTTTACTTTCTATTCTGTTGCACTGTACAAATAGAGTTCCGGTGCAGATGGTACGTGTATTTATCAGGTGTGAAAATGAGTGGAGAAATAATGCAAAGACGCAGGTGGGTGGTGAGACGTTGTCACAATGTTCTGTAGCCTGTACCATGTCCTGCTGCTTTTATTAGTCTGAATGTGTTTGACCAAAGACTATTTGACACACATTCCAGCAATTGTGACCTTCAAGTTGGTTTTACTGTAGAACTTCCTGGGATATCTAGCAGAAGATTCATGTCTCAAAGAAGAGACGTGCCACAGAACATCTGTGAAATTCTCTGAAGGTTCTAGTCTGACCGTGTCTCAAAGAAGAGAGAAATTCTCTGAAGGTTCTAGTCTGACCTAACAACGAGGTTTCAAATTGATTTTCTGGCAAAAGCGACTGTCCCTTTTGTTTTGTGTGCCGTCCACACCGGTCACTGCTAGACCTCTTTATCACTGCTCTTCCCTTCACTCAGTGTTTTCTTTGAAGCACACGCTTCTTCTCTGGTTTTTGAAGAGGATCATGGTAGGAGGAAATCTCCAGAAGCCAGCGTGGCCTTTGATTGGACGAGGACACACGAGGGGAGCGCCTGATTTGAAGGCACTGTCATTTTGTCGTTTCATTGTCAGGATGGAAAGGATTTAAAATCAGCATCACAAAAGAGAAAGCCTTATTTCTACTCCCCTTGTTTAATGTCACTGCCAACATGCTTATTGAAGCACTAGGGGGCAGTGCCGAGTTCATTTCAAAGACGTACAAAGGCTCTGTATGCATTAATCGTACATTAGACTAGGGGTCCCCAACCCCTGGTGCAGGGACCAGTGTTGGTCCGTAGGTTATCTGGTACTGGGCCACAGTGAAAAAATGTACTTCATTTTTACTGATTTACTTCATTCAGAAGAAGATAATCCAATCATATTTATTAACTTTTTCCATTCAAAGATAATCTGTCAATATTTCAATGTTGACAGAATAAAGTCCAAGGATGTTTTATTTTGAAAATGTAATGATCCTACAACGATGGCACGGTATTACCGATCCGCAGTAACGACTGATACTGGTCAACTGCTCCTTGGTACAAAAGAGGTTGGAGACCGTTGGATTAGACTGGTGGAGCAGGAGAAGGTCAAGATGGTCTGGACCAGGATTGGTGGAGGCCAGAGAGATGAAGTAAATTTACTTGACTGAATATATTTGAGTACTTTTCGGAGTAATTGTACAGAGTTACTTCCTCGCCGGTCACACATCCCTGGTTTGGAGACGAGGCGGACAAAGGTTGGAGAAGAAAGAGGAGAAAAGACTCCCGGTCTAATGATGGAGGATATGAAGATAGTTGATGTCATAAGAAGAGAGATGAAAGCAGACGATCCGCTGTGGAAATTCCTAAAGGGAGTCGCCCGAAAAAGAATCCGTTGGATCTTTGTCTTTGCACTTTTGATTGAAAAGTTGTGAGAAGCACGGAGCATGAAGTGATAATGTGCTCAGTGTAGCCTGGCAGGAAAAGTAATACGGCCATAATTATGCCTGGGAATAACTAGTGTTATCTGCCTGCTGTAATTTCACTCTCAAACAAAAGGAAGGACTTGACAGTTCCTGGAATATTTATTAGCCCCCGGCTCTTCCAGACCTCTGGAAGTTCACGGCACATCTTTGTTATCAAAGCCACCAGCAACAGATATTTATGGTTGAAACAAAGATCTAACCACGTCCACGGTGTGGTTTCTCTGGAGCTATTGTGTTCTGAGACGTTCATTATAGAAGGGAGGAGAATGTTAATGATTGTTTTTGATAGAAGCAAAGCACTTACGCACGTGTGTGTGTGTAATTGTACATGCGCGTGCAACGTGTTTATACGGCGCGCTGCGTGTGTGTGCAACGTGTTTATACGGCGCGCTGCGCGGCCTTGTTGTTGTTCATGCTTTTACTGCCTGACTTCAGTAGGTGTTGGATGTGTGTGCGTGGGCCCAGTGACCCTCTCATCCTGAAGTCCTGACTGATTTATCTTCCACTCTAAAGCTGAAGGAGCCTGAAAAGCCTTCGTCAAACCCAGGGACAAACTCGCTCCGTTATCCACTGACTATAAATGCAGCTTGTTTTGTTTTTGCTTTTTTATTCGTTTATTTTTTTTTATAAAGAATGTGCTTGGATTTTACGTTTTCACCCAGTTTGGTGGATCAGCTGTTTCCCTCTCCAAAAGCCCCGGTCAAGAATATTGCAAAGCAGCCAAAAAACCTGCAGAAGGGTTGTTTGTCTCCGTATATGACCCTGTTATGGGCTGGGCTGCTGTCCAGACTGTACGTCTACTCCAGTCCACTGCAGTCCTTGACAGGATTAAATGGCTGAAGATGACTGGATGTTTGAAGAAGGAAATGGGAAAGAAATCGTTAGATCCAGTTTCATTTTGCAACAATTTTACGATAACCTAAGAAATTCAATTTATCGTAACTAATATCAGAAATCGGTGAGTGAAATTTGTAGTTGAAGTTCTAGTTCATTTTCATAAATACCGTTTCCTCTCTGTTTGTATTAACTCTGATAATCTGACGAGGTGTTTGAAACGACTCGATTTAGTAAACCTTCGTCTATATCTACGTCACAGATTTGGAGTACATTTTTCGTTTTACTTTTACTTTTGTACTTCTGTTTGCTCCTTCCCTTTTTGGGCATTGATAATTTACGTTTCCTTTTCTCGAAGTTAATCACGGATACTATTGCAGATTTTCTCTTCCCTATTCGTATAAGTACAGTGTCATCTGCATATCACATGATACTAATATTAAAACCTCCAGTGGATATTTCAGGGTACCTTTGTATCAGTAAGTGAGTAAGTGAGTAATAAATAAAGCCAAATAACTCCCTCTCTTTGCTACCTTGTAACATCAACATTATTATTTTTCTACATTGTTGATTATATTATAACTATAAACTGGACTTTTTATTATAAACTATAAACATATCGCTAAAGAGTTGAAAGCGGCCAACAGAAAAAACCATCAAATTCAGTGGTGCTAAAGACACAATGAATATTTTCACGTCTTTATGTCCATCTGTCTCTCGTATTATCTCATTAAAAAACTCTTAGTTCGACCTGTGATTGAAAAACGCAGCA